CAGCATCAGCATCAGTATATTTAAAATAGTGTAACTGGTTAGGGGATACTGAGTATATTTAAAATAGTGTAACTGGTTAAGGGATACTGAGTATATTTAAAATAGTGTAACTGGTTAAGGGATACTGAGGCAGAAATCAGGACATCAAGAAATCACTGGAAAGGGAACATACACATTTTTTCATCCAACAGTTTTTCGGCCACTTTTGTAACTTGAAAATATATGTTTTCCCTTGTTCCAAATATGCTCAAATATCAAGCAAGATAAGCTAGTTCTTAGAATTTTGAATAATGGGGCCAGCAGCATAGGAAAACCGAACTGGGGGTTTTCAGCCTTGGAAAACCATTTTCTGAAGTCACTCACTCGGCAGTATCCACTTCCAATGCAGTGAGGAGACTGACTCAAAAGAAGATCCGATAATTTCACTACTTTCCTTTATAGAGACCTTTACAGATCTGTCAGGTAGGGTTCAGTTACAAAGACCTGAATTGTTTGAATTCAAGCAAGGACGATATTACGACAGGTGGTGTGTTGTTTTTTTTTTTGTTGTTGTTGTTGTTGTTGTTGTTTTTAAATGAGAGAGTTAAAAAAGAGCTTGCAGAATAATTGTCCAAGAGTAACTCTAGAGGTCAAACTGTAGGACCACAAAGGACAAGTCTAGTGAATTCAAAAGCAGAAAGCCCTAAGTCCAGAAGCATGGGCCACTGTGGTTGCTAGGGTGGCCACAAGATTAGTACAGTGTGACCAGAGGAAACCGGCCTCATCTCAAGGACATTGTGATTGATGCCAGCTCCAGCATCCGGCCATGCCTGCTCTGAGTTGAACCAGAAAACACAAGCTATATGGAGGCCTGCTTCTTGTCCCCCACCAAGGCAGTGAGTAGGTAGGCAGGAGACACGTAGCAGCTGCCAGGATAAAGGAGAAAATTGCCTCTGTCTTTGTTTGCCTGAATTAGGGTAGAAATGGCAGAGGTCTGCCTCAGCCCAGTCTGCTCCTTCCCCTCGTGCGCCAGCATCCTAGATGCTGAGGGAGAACACGTGCAGAACCAAACTCAGGAGTATCTGGGAAAAGCAGAGGCCCATCAGGAGGCAGGCACAGAGGCTGAGAACTCACGTGTTCCATCTCTGTTTAATCAACGCTCATGTTTCCCCACTCGACACGACTCCGAGAGCCTCGACTAGTAACAAGGATGGTGTCATGACCTAATGCAGATCTCTCTTACCAACAGAAATGTGGTCACTTCCAGCTGTAGTTTGTGAAATCTCTCACAGGCCTAGTGTTTAAACACTTGGTCCCCAGCTGAAGACTCTGTTTGGGAAGACTAAAACCTTTAGGAGGCTGAGCCTCACCAGAAGGGATGGGTCACGGGGACTGACCTTAGTGCTCCCTAGCTACTTAACGCTGCGTGTGACTAGGTATCTCCCTCTCCCGCTGTCGTGCCTTCCCCCGCTGTGATGGGCAGTATCCTCCTGTACTGTAAGCCCAAACAAACTCTTCCCTGCACAGATTGCTTTTTGTCAGGATTTTTGGTCACAAGGAGAAAGTCACTAGTGCACGTGCTTTCCAACAAAGATAATCCTAAGGAAACCCCGTGGTTCAACCCGTTCATTCAGCATGAAAGTTTGCTCCCCCTCTAATAAATTACATGGGGACACCCTCTGTATTAATATTAGGAGGCTAAAATTGGTTTATGTTTATAAATGCCTTCAAAATAGTACAAAGATTATAGTTATAAAGTTATAGGATGGGCTAAGGTGGTGTTTCAGCAGTTAAAGTGCTTGTTCCACATGCAAGACCATTGTTCAGATTCCCAGAACCACTGCAAATACTGGGCAGTTGTGGTGGCCCATCCTAACTCCAGCCTCAGAAGGTAGGGAGACAGGGTTCCCAGAGCAGCCTGGCTAGCAAGGTGAGCTGGCTTGGTGAATGCTAGGTTTGATTGCAGTTTCCTGCCTCAGAGAATAAGATGAATAGGGATCTAGGAAGATTTCTGGTCATCTACCTCGGGCCTTTACGCACGTGCGTGCACACACCTACACACACACACACACACACACACACACACACACACACACGCCATGAAAAGAAAAGGGAGTAAAAAGCACAATGGCAGTTTGTAACTACCTCCTCCTATTCCATCTCTTGTTTCCTTAGCTACCATCTAGGCTGCTTGGGGTCCCCAAGATGTCACAGAAGTTGGCAGGTTTGTTCTTGAGATCAGAGCCTACAGTAGCTTCTCACAGTCACAAGCAGAAGCAACCATCTGAGACATGCTGTTGTATCTCCAGATTCCACTGTCCACACTGCATCCAGAAACCTTAGCAGAGAGAATCTGGAAAATGCTGTGTTTGGCCTTCTAGAGTCCATAGTAGACAGCCAATCAAAAGGAAGAGGAGATGGGGAAGGGCAGACGGGCGCAGGACTAGCTACTTCCAAGGTTAAGTGCTAGTCCTTGAGCAGAGCTCCACAGGGACCCTTGAGTTTAACAAAGGAACCCTTCGTTTGAATGCAGGTGCCCTGGAAAGATGATCTGCAGAGGAACCGTTCTAAGAGAGAGCTGCTGCTTCCTGCCTCCCTCTCATACCCTAATATTATTTCCATTCCTTTAAACTACTCCAAGGTATCATGGATGTTCGGACCCTCGTCACTGAATTGATACAGCTGTTGTCATTCACCTTTATGTGAGACCCAGGAGGAAATATTATCTGTGCTACCTTCTCAGATAATTCCTCCAATGACTCATGGTAAATGATTGTGATGACAACCTGGGAGAGAAAAAGTACTTGGATTTCTTTGACTGATTCCTCTTAATGGCAAGACACAAGGCAGCACCTCCTCGTGCTTGGTGAAGCACTGTGCCATTACTATGGTTCACACAGAGGCAAATAAAGGCATCCACACAGGCTGCAGCTTAGGACTGTAAACCAGGACATTCAGGGTGATTTCTTCCCAGAGCAACATATGAGAGAGAGAGAGAGAGAGAGAGAGAGAGAGAGAGAGAGAGAGAAACAAGCTTCAGACAACAACATTCCCAGGACAAACTTAATTTGTCATGTGGTGATGTATTGACAGATTGGTTACTGGAAAGACATGGAACCAGAAGATGCCGCAGAAACAGTCAAAACCAGAGGGAATGAGTCCTTTGTCATCTTGACTGGATTAGAAGGCAACACACTGTACCACCTCACCGTCAGGGCTTACAACGGCGCTGGATATGGGCCACCCAGCACTGAAGTGAGAGCAACCACCAAGAAATCCCGTAAGTGACCTGGGCTTTTTGTTTGTTTTAGACAAAAGGGGAACATCTCTCCACATTTCTGAAAGCCACAGGAAGTGCATAATCAGCCAGTGGAGTCAAGAAGGGAGTCTAGCTTCATTGCTTAGATCTGACTCCCAAAAGCAGCTCGGAAAAATTTTGTATTCACAGTAGATAAAGGTTATCTTCCTGGGAAACAGGGCTAAGTGATTTTGACACAGAAAGGAGATAAAAGGATTGAGTTCAAAAGCTCAGGAGAGGAACTATTAAAATGACACTCCTGGAGCAAAACCCTCCTTATCTGACTCCAGCTGGAGGGAAGCCTATGGTGCCCGCCAGCTACGGGAGAAGCGGGAAAGACTCCAAAGGACTTAAATGAAGAAATGCGTTTCCCAGTGCTCGGCAGTTCACTTTCTCTTTGTGTCTTGCAGCCCCTAGTGAGCCACCTGGCAACCTCAGGTGGGAGCAGCAGGGCTCCCAGGTTTCCCTGGGCTGGGAGCCAGTCAGACCCTTAGCCAATGAATCTGAAGTCATGGGTTACAAGGTTAGTGTCTCTTGGTTCCTGGAAGGCATGCATATCTCCAAAACCATAAATGGGGAATCAAAGATCGGCTGATGAATCTTATTTCCTCCACAGCATTTTTTTCTTCATATATATTTTTCAAGCTTTCATACATAGACAGATGGTAGATGGATGGATGGATAGATGATAGATAGATAGATAGATAGATAGATAGATAGATAGATAGATAGATAGATAGATAGATAGACAGATAGGTAGATAGTAGGTCGGTCAGTCAGTCAGCCAGTCAGTCAATCAGAAGTACCAAGGGGTACATAGAGAACTTACCCAGATGTCTTCAGCAGTAGAGTCTGATGGTTCCTGGCAGTGAGGCTCCCACTCAACCCTGTTCCCACCAAGCTTGCTCAGACCCAGTCACATTCCTATTACAGTTCCGTCCTTTCCATCATCTCAGCCACATTCAAGGCCAAGGAGTCTGCCTTTGATGTGAGCTTGAAGTTGTATGGAGGCTGCCAGGGCAGGGCCCCTTGATCTTCATGCAGGACCTTCGTTTTCACCTTGAAGAGAGTGCATATCAGCAGCGGTACACCCCTCTTGCTTCTGTCTGCTTCTGTTTTGACTGTTCATTTCCATAGAGCTGCAGCAGCACCTGGGAGCTTACTAGAAGTACAAATGCTCACATCCTGACCCAGGCCTCTGACCAGTAGCCAGGAGGTTGAAGAAGCCTCATAGGGACTGACTCACTTGAAGCCTGAGAACCACCACCCTAGAACAGATCCTAGAGAGTTCTTATATTACCCATCTTTCCCAGAAACAAAAAAGTCATTCACACACCCAAAAGTTCTCACTGGTTACTTTCTTCTACATAAAATAAAACTATTATTTTTACAGGTTTAGCGAAAGAGTTAAAAGGTTGAGA